TGTTCACTTCACTTCACTTCACTTCACTTCACTCTACGAGATTCCAATTTCCTGTCAGCATACATACATACATACATACACTTTTTGATAATGCAGGTCAGTTTGCGGCAACCTAAAGGCTGGTGCGGACCTGCCAGTAACTCAGTTAAAATCCATATTTACGCACAATCTTAAATATAAAAACCTTAAATCTGATTAACGAAATTTCTAAAAATAAAAACTAAAAGTATAAGAAATCTGATTGTTTTGATGTTACCATACAAGCCTCTCTTTCAAATTGAATTTAGTCTGTTATCTTTGAGGCCTGTCTAAGTTTTTGTTTAACCCAATGACACTTGCGTGTAACACGTGCCTACAAAAAGTCAAAATTTTGGAGAAACCAAGAAAGCAAAAACAATGCGCAGTAAATTTTTAAAAATCATCTTTTTCAAAAAACAAGCTCCAGTGAAAGAACACTAATTAAAGAACTTATTCCAAGTTCCATGGAATCTATCCATGGTAAGCAAGATGAAAAAGACCAAGAAATATTTTGGAACAACAGATTTATTCAAAACAGTTTTTCATTTGCTGTTATAAGCGAAAAACTTACGAATTTCTTACATGTACAAAGCCCACGCAGTAAAATCATCATGCTTAGATCATTGTTTACTTGCCTTCAAGGCCAGAAAATTGCGCGGCCTTATGTTGAAAATTCTGAAAAACTTTGATTTGACGCAAAATCTTCAATTAAACAATACTTTTTGAACACAATGTTACTCAAACATAACATTTACCGGGCCATCGAATCGTCAAATTGTCACTAGACCCTGCTTGAAGTCCGAAAGTTCAGTTTTCACTTTACGTCCATAATTAGCATCGCTTCAGAGAATCGTAGCATTGTTGACTCGAGAGCTTATTCTGTCACCTTTAAGACCTTGATATCCATTCTTTTCCTAGCACAGTATTCTACAGCACTGTTACTTTACATTCTGAGTTCCACAAAGTCTAACTCAATCGCAAATGAACGAAAAATCCAACCTGAAAATTTTAAGGGTCGGCCGCGCGGACACCATATTTTCAAATTTGATTATCTAGTGAGGACACATAGAATAATGCCCCTATAGTACCCCCTAAAGCCATCAAAATATATGCACAAATGGCAGATTCTGATTGGTTTATTGATCTCCAAACCACAGAGGAAGTTTGGGGACAAAACTCTGCTTAGTAGGGGAGGTAGGGGAGGTAGGGGGGAAGCGTTCTCGCGTGGTTCGGGCGGTTCAGGTGTCAATGTGTTAAAAAGTTAATTGGAGGAAGCATCCTTGATGGCTTCAGGGATTAAATTACAAAAAATGGGTCCTTTATACCTTACACTATTTCTGCCAATGTTGCTATTGTACTGTACATGTGAGAAATGATTTATACACCATAAATTATAACAATTATTGCCGTTGCGTGTTTCAAATAGAGCTGCAAATTGATTAGGTAAGCTATTATGATAGACCTGGTACATTGTGGAAGCAAGTATAGCCTTCGCTTGTGATTTAGACTAGTGGTTTCCATTTTACATGGTCAAGAACGTCAGTGTCAGGAGTTTCGCTAAGAAGTTTATGAATTCGTTTGGCTGCTTTAAGATGCAAGTGTTCCAAAATATTAAATGTAGATAAATATTATTAATTGATTGGCATAAACCATGATTCCACATTAAAACGAAGTTTGAGCTGGTAAATATTGCGCCAAACAAATCCTGATCTTCGGAACAGGATAATGTTTCTTTCATAAGAACTGCAGTATATAATGTATAGATGACAAAAAACAAAAACAGCCAAAAAATAGCTTTGAGTTGGGATGAGTAAACAGCTGCTGTGTATGCCTTGGACTAATTGATTTCAGTAAAACTTTGTGCTTTCCCTCATCACACTTCAGCGACATCACAGCTAAGAAAAGCTTTTGGTTTGGTTTAACTATGTATGAAGCTAAAGAAACATTCAGAGAAAAAGCAGTCCATTTGAAATATTTTCGATATCCCAAAATTATATAAAAGAGAATGTTTGCATCAAGTTTCTCACCTCAAATTCTCTGACGAACTTGGAAATGCCTGTGTATGCCCATGGTCGCCTCAACCAAGCAGGTTTATCCAAAGGCGGTAAATATGGGATTGGATCGCGCGGAGCAAATAATGCCAAAAGATTCGGCGGAAGAAAGGCCGTCATTTTCTTTTCGACGAATTTCCTCTGGTCTCAAGTGAATTCAAATTCAGCTTCGGTCAAAAAAAGACTGAATCACTGCTACTACATCTAGACGTTCTTCTAAGGAAAGCAAAGTCATGTGCATGGTCCCTCTGCTAAGAACCATGGGAAAAATAGAATGTGATTTGTAATTGGTTGTTTAAAAAATACGCTCTTCGAACTTGATCGACTTGACCAATCAAATCTTGCGTTAGTTGTAAATTGTTATTCAAGATGGACAGGGCTTGTGTGAGATTCACAAGGAAAATACTTTCTATCAATCGTACTATTTAATATCTGCTAATAATATTTTAAGGTGAATATTAAAACTAAACAGTTCCAGATTTAAGAGCAATTAAAAGAATTTCCTTGGAAGAAACGAAAATATACACGAGGCCGAGGGTGACGCGCTTCTTTACCGTACTAGTCTCCAGTTTCCTCGCGTTTAGATGATGATACCGCATCAAAACAAACAAAGCCGGACGGTCATTTCGGGAAAAACTTTGTGACTTCGCCGCGATATAACAATCAGTAGAATACTTTGAAAGAATCGAGAACTTAAATTCGAAATTTTAGGACAAACCCTTGCGAAAGTCTTCTACAAAGTCGCGAAGGTTCAAGTAAACATCCGAAGAAGTACTCATTTCATTATCACGTCATATCTAGAGGACCTCGGTTTTCATTGCTATCACCTTTCTGTATCGAAGTGGATGCTGTTGTTTTTAATGATGAAAAGCCTCTTTTAGAGGTAGACAACACAGCTGTAACGTACAGTAAAGGTGAGTGACGAAGTGTTATTTCAAGACACAAATTAATTTGCTTAAGTTCAACGCTTCGGTAAACGCAAATGTCCCCACGCTTAAATTTTCATCGCCATTTCAACGGATTGAAATTTTGGGTGCAAATTAAGAAGAGGATAACCGTGCTGTTTGGGATGATTTCGGGAAGGTAATGACTCGAAATGATGGCCAAATTCAGTTTTCCGCCATAACATATCTACACATCCGAATCGTTCATTGAACAGACAGCACAGCTCTTGTCCGACGATCGAGGATAAAATCAAGTATACTATAGTCTTGGCCCTAAATGGGCTATTAGGATCTATGGAAACTTTTCCTCGTAGAGAGCAGCTTTTGCTCACAGGTAGTTTGATGAAACAGTCGTTAGTGGTCATTCGTCAAACCACGGTGACGCTTGACAGAATTTTTGTAAAGCCATTAATATGGTATAACCACGATCAACAGTACTAGCGTTCTGATGCGCTCCGGTTATGTGGGATTGTTATAGTTCGAACGATAAAAAAGACTAGGACAACGCGATTTTTAGTTAAATACATTCAAAGGAAAGTGTTTCCCTTGATTAAAAGCTTGTGGTTGTGTATGCTAATCAGTTCTTTCTTGACATTTGATGATTTGTTAATTAATTTGGAGGTGCATGGATTTGTTAGTCTTGTTAGACAACGTTAGAACCTGAAAGTTTTGATATCACAAAAAATGCATCCCAGAACTATAGTTTCCCTCTTTTCCGTGAGAAAAAAACAAAACAAAACGAAAAGCGTTTTCTCCAATGTCACGCTATGACAGCAGTCACGCAAACGCAAGAGCTTTTGGACTTTCGGTGCTAGACAATCAAAAAACAAACCTATATGGGTGAACAAGATTGTTTCGCTAGTGGAGCAGACAGCTGAACTTTACAATCATTTGAAGTATCGGGCCAAAATTGGCATATCCAACAAAATTGCGTTAGATTGACAACTTGTAGTTAACCAAGAGAGATGTTCGTCTTGCTAGAGCTCTACCTCACCCTCTCCTCCCGGGCTATTTAAAGCTATTTTGTTGTCTTTGATGTTGTCTTAGAAATAAATATCAAGAGAGATGGGAAACGAAGTGAGTACAGTCGGAGGGGCAATCGCCACCGCTGCCACTTCAGTTGCCGCTGGAGCTACGTTTGGACAGGTAGATACACTGAATAATGCTGTGGTCGAATGCGCCAAGTTTACGGGAAATGCCGCTTCTAAGACGGTTGTACGTCACGTTGGAGAAACGGTAGGCTCCGCCGTAGCAACTGGTGCCGTGGCAGCCGCTTCCGGAGTCACTCTTGGACGAGTAGATACCTTAAATAAGACTGTTGTCAAGTTAGCAAAGCATACGGCTGAGGCTGCGGTCAAATCTGGCAGAGTAGTCATTCACACCACCAATGAAGTAGCCAATGGTATGCCTGTGATAGGGCACATCAAAGGTGGTATACACTATGCCATCGGAGACAGAAAGAGGGGGAGCGAGGCAATGAAGAAGGCTTCAAGGTCAACCGGTGTTGTCGTAGGGGGCGTTCTAGGGGTATCTGGTGGTCCGGCGGGAATGGTGGCCGGGGGCATCGCAGGGGGAGCGGTGATGGATGGCATAACAACTGGAGTAGAGTCGGCTGTAGAAGGGAAGTATACTCCAGCTGGACAGATCAAAGCTTGGACCAATGTTGCCACGGGTAAAGACCCACAGACGATCATCGGGGGCGTGGTGGGGGGTATTATGTCCCCCATAATGGACGGAGTAGGAGGGTATGATGTCGGAACTCTCTTTAAAGGAGGTAGAGTTACGCATCCACACGACCATCATGACTTGGCGGAGTTCGAACATGTAGAAGTTCCAATTGAATCCGCTTCCGGAAAGTCAGAACCTGAAACAAATCGTTCCAAGGCTGATCAAGGAAGGGGCGAGGTACAAGGTGAGTCATCAGCCGTGACAAGAGCCGATAGAGGTGAAGATCAATCACATACTAATGGAAGGAGGGAAGCAGAAGATAGATCAAGTGAAGTCGCTGAAGGGGTGAGTCGATTAGTTGGCGAGGGAAGAGAAGCAGAAGGTGTAGGAAACGACGAAGAGGGTGGAGTCTCTAGAAGGATGGAGCATTCAGCAGGTGGGGCAAGGGAAACAGAAATTGAGAAGGGTCAAACAGAAGTCGAGGAAAACAAAATAGAGAGTGGTGAAAGCGACGCAGATGGTGAATTCGGTGAATGGGTGTATCTATCAGCTGAAGAGACAAGCGAGGATGAAGACAAGAGAAGAGGAGGTGTTTCAAATATAGGCGAGTCAAGTAGCGGTATGGATGTGACAGGCAGACCTTTGGGAAGCAATGGATCATCAATTATCCGTGCTTGGAAAACTGCACTCAGCGAAGGAGAGGGTGAAATCATTCACCTGTCAAAGCTAGAAGATGGAACGCTTTACCGAGGCGTGATTAAGGGCAAAAACCCATACAGTGCAGATGGTTATGAGGCACATTTGGGCGAAGGAATTCACTTCACAGATGACCTTGATGAAGCTATTGACTTTGCTACGTTACATGGAGAAGTGTACCAGTTCGAGTTTAGCGCCACTGAATGGCGGGATTATATGAAGAACTGGGCGCTTGAACAAGAAGGCACAGTCAGAAATCTAAGTGGTGTAGATGAATTCCAAGTTATCAAGACCACTTATGGGAGCATAAACCACTACCGATTCAGCCCTCATATAGTCCTGGTGATCGAACAGAGAGACGCCCTTGTAAAACTGAGAGATGTCAGTACCTCGTCCAAATGTTCTGTAGCGTGACTGAACGTTGGTTACTTCATACCCCTGGCGTATTCAGGTTTCAGTTACTGACGTACCACAAGTTTACTGTGAAACTGCTAAAATAGTTTTTTCTATCGCACATCGTGTTGACGAAGTTGAAAGGTGGTTGTAATCAAGGGTTTCTTTAAGTATTTAAGTTAAAAAAAAGGCACTTTCTTCCGGTTTATCGACATCATAGCCCACGCGGGATTGAGTGAGAAGCTTTGAGAGAACAGAAATAAAGTTCATAAAGCACGAACCAAGGTAAATGATACAAGAGCTTCTCTCGTGTTGGCTGAACGTTACTGTGGGTTACAATACCTGCGAGTCGATAGGAATTACGGTTTTTCGCCCATATGAAATAATTGTAAAACGTTTCGGTTTTTTGTGGGTTTACTGGTACATTAAAAAATAGGTTTTAATCAACTAGACTTCGCGTAGTATCGAGGATGTTTTACTAAATCTGCTTTTAGAAAAGGAATTTTTGGCTTAGAAGCAAGTCCTTCCTCATAAATCTAATTCGTGTGTCACTTAAGTAAGGCGTGAACAATTGTTTACCACTAAACATTGCTTAAGGCTAGCGTGGCATAGCACAAAACAATTTTAACGGATTTTGCTGATTGAGTGTTTGAATTAATCCCTTGAGTTACTTTGTTTCTTTTTATTGACTTAGTGTGGTCGTTGCTTAAAAAAAAAGGAACTTGCTCAATACAAGTGCTGTTGATCTAAAGTAAATGGGATAATTTTTGTATAAGACCTGAAGAAGGGATCAGTTCCTTCTGATACGCGTTTGCTTCTTTTCCGTTTCCGTGCGTGGGCTTGGGAGGAAAAGAGAGCTTAAAAACGACAAAACTCCCCACTTTCGCTTGTCGTCTTTTTGGCTCGCTCAAAGGTCCACTGAACAAGAAACCCGCCACAACAACTCAAATAATTTCTTCTCACTGCGCACTTACGTTCTGATGACGCAGATAAGGTACATCGCAGGATTTGAGATCACCGTAGTATCCTAGTGAGGTAATATTCACCGAAATGCTGCGCAAAAAAGTAAGGAACGCCGTAACGCCACAAAATCTCAATGCGACTGTGTCTTCGCAAGATTAAAAAAAAACAAAACCTTGAATCTGACTGAAACATACCGGAAGCGATCGGAACTAAAATTGCTTTCATGTTGATAAGTGTTAGAACGGCATCGTACATCTTATCGGATGCACACAAACAGGGCATGACTAGAACAACTTGTCTACTTTTACAACCACGCACACCGCCCCTGACTTGTCAAATACAGTGAAGACGAATAGTAATTTGGCACATGTAAACGAAAAGCAGAAGAAACCTGTGCGCAGACTCAAATAAAAACTTGCTCTTTTAAAGCAGATATGACACAGGGTGAAAGTTGCGCTATCACTTCGTCGATTTCGCCTACTGCTTGCACTACTCAGTATGAAGTTACTCCAAATCAAATAAACCTAAATAAAGTGTTTTTCTCAAAAGAAGGACTCGAACAGCCTTACGATATTACCTCAGTGGTGAAGTCCATCCATCGCTGGATGTACTAAACCTAGTATAAAACCAGCTGAACTCCTGTGTGAAGTGTACAATGAAACAACGAATGAATGGCAGTTTATCAAAAGCTTTACTGAGCGTGGAGCGAGAGTTTAGGTTTGATTGTTCCAGATGACAAGGTGTATGGTGTTGGCTATGATCGATCAGGTGCAGTGACGGAATTGTTAAGAGTCGAATGTTACAACCCAGAGAGCGATGAATGGAAGCTGAAAAATGAAATTTCAATTGCTTGGGTTGAAAGAGCCCAGCGACAATTCAAAATTTGCGGCACAATGAAAGCTTTTCGAGGGTGTCTTGCATTCCTACCGAATGTCACCTGTGAAGAAAAACTGGACATGGAAAGTTTTTCGAAGTTCATACTGTGGCTTACCTTATTAACTGAAGTTTCTCTGCTTATTTTAAATTGGAGGAAGATTTTTTTCGTGTAGTCTTTGACTTACAAACCTTGTTAAGAGTCACAGTAGCCGACTTATGTGGTTTCCAGACATTGGCTCAACTTTTAATGAAAGTCGCTGGCTTTGCCATAGTTGAATGATCTGATTTTGTACGAGTTAGCAAGAAAGCATCTGATTTCTTAATAGCGATATGCATATGTATCTATTATGTGTCCCCACTCAGGCAAACCTGCGCCTCAAAAATCGATGCCGCACAAACTTTTATTTACTCTTTCAAGATTTCAACATAGAAATCACAGGGGACCCACACAAGCGGCGCGTCTGCTCGTTTCTTCGAAATATAAATGTTGTATGAAAATATAAAACTTATATCAAGGAACGTCTATGTTAAGGCTCAAAATAAATGTAAACCTACCTCACTTGCTGTGTATTGTCGTTTCTACAATACAATACAATACAAAGACTTTATTTAAACACGATAATTTTTAAAGCGACTACACGCTTGTGGGGGCGTGCGTAAAATGGATTAAAATGAAATGTAGTAAAATAAAATAATTAAAGTAGCCTTTCTGTGGTTCTAAATGGCGAATTTGAGCGATTTGGTAGATTTTGCGTTGACTGTAACGCAGAATCTACCAAATCGCTCAAATTCGCCATTTAGAACCACAGAAACGACAATACACAGCAAGTGAGGTAGGTTTACATTTATTTTGAGCCTTAACATAGACATTCCTTGATATAAGTTCACGATATTACGACTCTTCTATATTCTCCCTTACATTTCCTTATATTTCGAACAAACGACCAGACACGCCGCTTGTGTGGGCCCCCTGTGAGAGAAATAAGAAACGAGTGGAGCATTTAGTACTATACCGAAAAGCTAAACCAATCAAATTCCACGTTAGATCAATAGGTTGGTATTTTCAAAATGGCCGACGAACCGAGCACACAACGAGATCGGGAAAATTTTCGCAATGGTCTACAGTTTTTCGATCGGACCGACGATCTTACGGCCTCAAATGTTGGATTAGCTGCTCGAGAAGGTGACGAAGAAAGACTGATACGTCTTATTGCCGATGGTGAGTTATTATATTTTATACGATTCGAATTATTATTTTATACATATCTGTACATACTCAAAATGTAGCTAGCGTCTGCAGTCGCTGCGATTCGTTTACAATCACCAGTAGTGGAGTCAAGGGGAAGGAAAAGTATCAATTTTTACTCCTCATTTATTTTTGGTCTTACAGTTTTCTTTCATGTCTCTAATTGCACAGGTTTTTTGGTTACTATAAACTTGGAAGCCTTGGAAAACTTGATTGTCACACAAGAAATTAAATAACTTCAACAGCGATAAATTTTCATGAGTGTTTTAATCCTGTCTCGTTTTGTAAAATCGCTGGATCCCTCAACCATTCAGCTAAGGTACTGATAGTTGTGGATCTATTCTTGAACAAATCAATATTTCAAAATTTTCCATATATGTTTTTAATCAAAATTACTTTGATTTATAACGTTCAAGCGCTCTTAGCTGCAACCGTTTTAATCGCCATGTTGTTAGGTAAAACATTTTGCCGCCTACAATTGTGGTTTAAGTTCTCAATTTGGCGACTTGTTTAGGTGGTTGTGAAGCAAGCTTTGTATTATGTCAAGCTTAGAAAAGCATTTTCATAAAATATTTATTTACAGATGCTCTGTCACTTAATGACGTAAAAATCTGCATACCTCCTGTCCATGTTTAAAGCCTTTGGGTATTGGTGTGAACCTCCTAAAACAATTTCTGGTCTGGTTTTTTTTTCCTGGAAATTAAAATTTTCTTCCTGGAGACCATTTGTGATTTTTAGAATTTGAATTTTTAGAACTTTGAGTCCTGTTTTGACATCTCCTATGTTTTGTACTTGTTTAAGCATTATGAGAACACACAAAATACAAGTTCATTTTTAAAGTGATACCAATTGTAAATAAATTGCAACAAATTTATTTGCATCAATTAAGTAGGTTGTATATTCATTAACAAATGGTAAACACCACTGCGTACACTATTGAGTTATGGATGCACGCGGGAGGTTGCTAAGCACGAAAGAAGCGTAAGAGTCACTCGAGGCGATAGCCGAGAGCGACTCTAGCTTCTTGAGTGCTTAGCAAACCTCCCAAGTGCATCCATAACTCAATAGTGTACGCTGTGGTGTTTACCATTTGTTTTATAACATAACATTGATACATTGTAGCTAAAGAGTTCCCTTTTATTTAACAAATCTTACG